GATACTCACATATTCATTTTTATAGCAGCATAATTTATAACAGTTACATCTTGGATGCAACCTAGGTGTCAAACAAAAAATGGAGAAAGAAAATACGGTATTTGTAGACAACAGGCTTGTACACTTCAATAAATATGAATGCACATGAGTCATTGGTAGAAAAATGGATGAACCTTGAGACCATAATTTTAAGTCAAATAAAATATTCATGCTAGATTAAATGTCACATGATTTCCCACATATAGAAAACCTAAAGTACAAATAAAATAAAGAGGAACAAAAAAGATAAATGAAGAGAAATAGAGAGACAGACTTTCTCATATACGAAGATGACTAACACATAGAGGTATGGAAAAGAGGAGGTGGGTAGAGGACTAATAATAAGATGTGTCATGTATGAACTCCCCATGATTGTAATCATTCTCTAATATGAGTGTTACTAATAACCATTTTCTTGATTTAGGGAAACAGGCAAATAAAAACAATTTTGCCTTTCTACTCTCTAAATGTTCTTACTGAATGAATACCATGTTTATTATCAGAAAAATAAAAAAAATATTATTTTAAAATATTTTATTATTGGGGAAGATCAATTACAAATATGCAAAACTTAGACAAATGTTCATGGTTCTCTCTTTACAAGGAAGATATTAACATTGGAATTTTGTCTTCTCAGTGAAATAGGCCTTATAGAACAGCATGTAAAATATACACTCAGAAAGAGAGCTCAAATCACACAAATTCAGATATTTAGACATACCACAGTGCATCAAGCAGCCTGGACTTACAGGATTAAGTCCTGTGCTCAGAGGCACAAATACTATTGGATAACTTCTTGAAGGAATGAGGAACACACTTCCTAGGGCCCAGGAGCAGACCTCAGAAGAGCTCTAAAGAGAAGACTTTGATGCCCAGACATACACCTACATCCCAAAGTCAGTTGGTTCTAGTGGAATCCACACTGCCTACACAAAGAGGTGGGAGTAACCAATGCCAAATCATAAAGGGAACTCTTAGGGTCCACAAAAATTTTGTAATTTGGACACATAAGTGACACATGCAGAAATTATGTTTGAAAATATTGAGAAGATGAATCACATCATACTAAATATTCATAATAAAAGAAAATGTGTTTAGGAAAGTCATTAGGTAAATTTAGTACATGGTAGCCATGATTAATTATTCGTCAGTATATCATATCATCATGGGTTCCATGAAATTGAGTTGCAAGGACACTGTCACCTTCAACAGATGGATAGCTCTCTCTTCAATGGGCTTGCTCCTAGCTCAAGAGAAGGACCTAACTCTCATCTGCTGCAGAACCCATCCTTGTTGACCTAAGTCCCTGATGCTGTAAATTTTGTCACTGGGAACCCAGAAATTTGAGGCTGTCAGCCAATATCACATTCTTCTGACCACACCTTACACTCTTAGATTAGTCTTGTTGGCTGGGACAGGCAATTTGTTCTGAATCATCAGCTGAGCTCACTGTGTGATTCTCACATAGAAGAAGTCATCAAGGGAAGCATTGGGAAGTGCATAATTTCTTAGGTACCCTCCTACTGTTTAGCATCACAACATCAGTGGAATCATAACTTACCAAGCTGACTCCTCCTCCTTCCTCTCCTGGAGGATAAAAGACATCAAGTACAAAGCTTCAGAAGCTCTCATCCTGGAAGTCCTCTTGGGAAGATGCTGTGTATCTTGCTCCTGTTGGCCTTCATTCTGACACCCAGGACAAGGGCAGGTAAGTTCTATCTGTACCCTGAGAGCCACAACCCCATTCTACAGAGGATATGGGTAGCCTGTCTGTCTAAATATCTCTGAGTCATCCCTCTACCTGGATAACTTCATTTTTTAGTTTTTGGGATTCTTGTTTGCTTGTTTTTGTTTTAAATAATTTTATTGAGAAACTAATTGCAATGACACAGTTTCAAAACTGATAACCAGCATTTTCAATAATTAATACATTGCATATTGTTGTCTTAGTGGTTATTCATTGTACAAGATGCAGACATTATATGATGTCCAGAAACACTATTAGAACAAATCTCTCTATTGATTAAATTAAGAGAAAGTAGCTATATATCTATTTTATTTTTAAAATACAGATACAGAAATGGTCGTTCATTTGTATCCCCCAATTTGTTTAGTTTTGTCAGAAAAGGGTATCCCATTCTCAATAAATATTGTAGGTGCATGAATTCAGCAAAATATTCCAATATACTCCAGTAGTTCATTATAGTATTGGGGTTTCTGTAAGAGTAGCAATGTCAGAAGTTGTTGACTTGAGCCTTTTACAGCTCAGCATATTAATATGGCTTTATATCTTATAATCATTTTTAAACTTTTCTGCTGGATGGTTAACACAAATATAAAGCAAGACCTATATAACAAGAATTGTATCTTTTGTATCTGATAAGGTCAGTCAAATCCACTCAGGGTTGTCCTAAACCTTATACCACAGTTTGTAGATCTTTTGTCAGTGTCTACCCGGATAACTTTGAGTGAGAAATCAAATCCCACAAGTGAACCCCAAGCATGACACTAGGTAGGCTACCACAGAGTGTTGTCCACCAAAGTCAGGACACACTATCCCTTTGCTAGGGCCTTCATTTGTCACTGGGAAAGTGGGTCTTTCCTCAAAGTGCATGCAATGCATTTTGGTAAGAAGTTGCAGGAGACTATATCAAATACTCTCAGAGTGGGCAAAATAGGGCTGTCATCAACACCTGCAAGAAGAGAGGCACTGCCCCCATCAGCTGCACAGCAGAGATGCCCAGAGCTCAGTGAGTGCAGAATACAAGGAGTGATTCTTATCATAACTCCACTTTTGCCTTTCCTCAATGCTACACCCTTTGTCCAACCCTGCTTTAACCCACAATCCTTACTGTCTCCTTTGCTTTCCATATGAGCCACACAGGAGACTCTAACCTCCCTCCCTTGCAGAATTCCATCAGTAATGCCCTAGCAACCTTCATCCAAGTGAGTTTCTGGACCTGCCCCCTCACATAGCCAATGAACATTTCTGAGGCACCCACTAGCTGTCAAGCTTTAGGAAAGAGAATGAGACAACATCTAGAGTACAGTGGAAGTGTAATACCTACCTCCAGACATCAGTTAATGACAATATCTTAGCTATTCTTTTTATTCTCTTTTCAGGCTAAATTGAAAATTAATAAAAAGGACAAAGAAAAAATATTGTTTTAGTATAATGAAGAGTTAATATTTAGTTGTTTGATCAAAATTGCATCACTACTTCTGGTAATCTGAGCAACAAGTTTCAGGATTGTAATATATAATTAATGTGCTGGAGAGATAGCTCAGAGGAATCAGTGCTTGCCTGGCAAGTACAAGGTCCTGAGTTCAATCCCTGCTACAAATAAAAAAATAAAATAATAAAATAAAATAAAACAATATATAGTGTAAAATCTTTGGTAATTTCCTGTTCTTGTTTTGAAATTCTGCACAACTTTAATCACTTCGTGTTGGTTACTTTTTGTCTTTGTTCCTCGTTTTTGTTTTTCTTTCTTACTCTTTGAAATGAATTTTTTTTAAAAAAGAAAGAAAAGTCATGAGAGGAGTCATGAAAAGCCTCTGTGATTTTATTACCTCCAAACAAGTATGTTCATCATAAATTGAACAGACAAAAAGGATTTTGAGACCAAGACATTAATTCCCCCAATATGGAGAAAAAGCTAAAACTCCCTCACCCAGATTCCTCCCAAGTGCATTGCATCCAAGGTGGCCAAATTCCCAGCAGTTGTGGAGCCACCAAGTAGACTCTCACACAGTGACTCAGCGCCTTCTCATCAATGTCTTTTCTTTCAGGGGAGATCATCAGGGGACATGAAGCCAAACCCCACTCCCTGCCCTACATGGCCTACATTGAGTTCACCTATGCTACAGAAATATTTGCCTGTGGTGGCCTCCTGATACATGAGCAGTTTGTGCTGACAGCTGCTCACTGTTTTGACAGGTGAGGAATGAAAATCTGCTTCTCGGAGAAACACTTCTCAGAGTCCCTTTCTCCCAAGGAGCTCACTAAGCACATGCAAGCATATAAGCAGGAGCTTCCTTTTAGGGTGAGAAATGGTCAGGGGATCCAAAGGGGAGAAATTCAAGTTGACATCCATGGTAATGTTGATATACAAAAGACCCTGGCAGATACACCTGATGTATTAAGACTTAGGAGAAAACCTTTGTGTAAGAATGTAAAGTAAAACAATTTTATGTGATTTCATGGAGTTAACTGACCCCTTAGAACTCCTGGCACCATAAGTCCAAATTTTACCCTGTGTTACTAAGAAGAAGAGGGCATAGTCACTTGGTCAGGTGGCTCTCCTGTCATCTGGAGCACAGACATATACCAGCTGTAGTATATGTAATGTGTCTACAAATCCTGTAATGGGTCCTCTCAGGCTCCACATTTCTCAACACACTATCCTGTCTGAGCAGAGATCTGGAGTCACAACATGAAAAAACAATCATCTTACTGGGGGCTCACAACATCAAGAAACATGAGAAGACCCAGCAGAGCATACTAGTTAAAGAACAATTCACACATCCACATTACAATCTTCCAAACAACAATGACATCATGCTGCTGCAGGTAAGACATAGCTTCCTGTTTCTCTAGCTCTGCTAATACAGAGTTCCCCCCAATGAAATGCTGTAGCTTTCCTCTTTGCCATCATGTCCATCACAGTGTCCAGGCCCAGAAGACATAGGCTGACCTGACCCTTACTTTTGTCGTATCAGCTGAAGGAAAAGGCCAAGCTGAGCAAAGAGGTACAGATTCTAGAGCTGCCCAAGCGAGAAACCCGTGTGATGCCAGGTGACTTGTGCCAGGTGGCTGGATGGGGACTGATAGACCGAAAGACTTTACCAGACACACTTCAGGAAGTGGAGATGACAGTACAAACGGATAAAGAGTGTGAAACCCGCTATGCCAATTACAACAGTGCTACTCAGATGTGTGCTGGAGACCCAAAGTTGAAAAAAGGAGCCTATGATGTAAGACTGGGCATTTGTCACTGTTGGCTTTGGGAGAAAGGGTTTTTGGGAAAGATTTAAGAAAAGGACAGCCAAGAAGCAAGACCAGGAGAGCCAAGAAACATGGCTTTCTCAGCTAGGAGGCTGTGTTAATTTTCGCTAAAATGGGGAAAACGCAGTGGTATGAGGCAGGAGGTAACTGAGGCTTCTACCACTTCTCCAAGGTAACTCTAGTGAAGAATGCCCCTCTGGAATCATGAGTTCACAACATATTGCCTGAGTTCACATCCCAGGCTTAAGAAACCATTCCTAGGCTTCACAGTAATTATCCAATTGGCTTCTCCAAGCTACCTGACTCTCTTATTGAATGGGCTTTTGCTCCCTGTTCCAAGTCAAACACACTCATCTGTCTCCATGTCTTTAAATAGTAGCCTGAAACCAATGGTCCCACAAGACTCTACATGGATGAGGGCCCAGGATATGGGTCAAGGAAAAATAGCTGATCCAAGAGTATAAGTTAAAGTGATAACATTGTTCATAGTCAAGGCTTTGCTGCTAAGGGCCCAGGGTCTGGCCTTGCCTCTCATTTCTTAGCATCAGACTAGGAGTATTACTTCAACACAGGTTTGTGATATCAGAAGGGACAAGTCCAGGAGGTGTACTGCTTCACAGTCTCACTCTTTACTTACAGGGTGACTCTGGAGGCCCCTTCATTTGTAATAATGTTGTTCAGGCCATTGTCTGCTTTGGAAACTCAAAAGGAATTCTGTACACCAAACTGTCACCTTATATAGACTGGATAGAGAAAACCATGCAACATCTCTTACTGCAGCAAGCAAATGAAGCCTCCTCTTTGAGAAACCATCAGTTCATGGCCTGAGATTATAATAGCTGTAGAGAAGATACAAGCAAATAAATAAATATCTCATTGCAGTAACTAGGTTGGTTTCTTATTTTTTCATTTGCTTTTCTTCACATAGACTAACTCCAAGCTATTTTGGCAAGAGATACAACTGTGGTGATTTCAGCTTCTTAACTTCCTGTTCCCCTTACTAACTTCAAAATCCCCACTCTTAAGCTGATAACCATTTCCTTCTATCTTACTTTAGTTTCCCCAAACCCTTCTCTTTTGCAAGGATAAAATCTAAGCAACATCAGAAGAAAAATGTGTGTAGCACTTCTCCTGGGTCTTAAGGTGAACAAATTGCCTCTTAATGTGCCACATGGAAGAGGGGAAGGGGGATGATATCATGGGTGCTCCGGACCAGTCAGGCACCTCTCACATCACCACTCAGTCCCATCATACTGAGTAGGAGAGGCTCTTCCTGATCGTGATATTTTTCTTCCACAGTTTTAAGGAGAAGAGGCCATGTGGCATATTCTCAGTGACTCTTCCTTCTCTTCTGCAAAGTTTTTCTTTCTCATTTCTCTTCTATGACCCAGACTAACCTATGCTCTTAGACACCAGGTGATAGTTCTATTGTTTGCTCTCAAAGTTGTCACAGCCCACCAAATCCTGTCCTCCTTAGGCTACAACGACTTAAAGCTGCTCCTCTCTGAAATGCTCCACCTAGGACATCCATGACCATATGTGGTAACAAAGCACAGTGAAACTGGAAATGGTAAACGTTTTCCAAGTTTAGTCTCTATTTCCCATTGCTCCATAAGGCCTGTATCTATGGAAATAAAACATGTTACTTCTCTTCCTACTTGCAGGCAGGTTATACCAATACTATCAAAAGACACTCCAGAAATACGTGAAACATACAAATCACATGATGCTGCTGCAAGTCAGACATACCTTTCTATTGGTCTTGTAATTATAATACACGGTCAAGCCTTCCTGTGGGAAACTGCTCTTTCCCTCCTTGCATGTTGGGCATCACAATATGCATGTCCAGAAGGCATAGGGTTTGTTCCATGAGCTGATCTGGACACTCGTGCCTTTTTCCCATCAGCTAGAGAGAAAATTAGTCAGAGTAAACCTGTGAAGCCAATTAGATTGCACAAGGACATGACACTGGTGAACCCAGGGGACTTGTGGCTGGCTGCACAAGAATGACCCCGTAAACCCCTAGAGCAGCTACACTGCAGAGGGCAAGCTGACAGGACCAGAAGAAATAAAATGCACTATAAATATCAAAACCAGTGTAGGAGGAACTCAGTTGAGAAGTGTGTTAGTGTCCTACTCTAAAAGCCAGGATTTGATATATTGCTCACATGAGACCAATTTATAAGAATTGCAGAGCCTATATTAACCTAACTAGTTGCCAATGTACTTCCCCTTCCCATCTAGGAAAACACAAAATGCTCCATTCTTTGTTCCCTACAATGTCAGTAGGCAGTATGTAGCTTCCATTTATTTCCAGAACAATGGAAAGGCTCTGAACTACTCTACCCCCCAAAATGGTCTATTACCTGACCTTAATATCATGGGATGCCAATACAGGGGATAATTAGTTTCACCAATACTTTTACCACCTCAGTAGAAGTCTCAGTTCTGGTGGGCACACCCTCTACCCATCCTGAGTAAGTGCAAAGACCTCAGTAACTCCAAATCAGCTTCTTCAAAAAGGAAGGGTTCTCTGTGGATGGACACCTGCTTCAGGCTGTGGGTGAGAAATTGGCTTCTTAGCACAAGTCAGACCTTGGCTTGTCAATAAGATACACAAAGTTCAAAGCCTGGAGACATAGAAATAGCAGCCAACCACCCCAGCCATAGCTGAGCTGCTTCTAGCCCCTCATAGCTTGGTTTCCCAGGAAAATCCACACTGATTTTGATAAAGGATGCACTGATCTACACTACCACCAACAGAAGAGAATGGTTCCAAGTTCCCCTCAAATTGTTCCACTATTTGTTATTGGTTCATTTCTTACTAGTAGTTTTTCTTTCTGTGTTGAGATGGAATCTCATTGTTGTTTTAAAGAGCATTTCTTCAATGAAAATGATGGTGAACATAGCTATCGTGCCAAGACGGTTCTTGTCATGTAGTTCTTGAATCATGAATTGTCCGACGTATTTAGGAAAGAAGTACTCTTTCTTCTGGGAAGATACGCTATCCATTTCTTTTGGATACCTCTTCTGACATGGTCCATGATAAAGAAGTCTCAGAATATTTGGGTGGTTGAAGGTGTGACACTACCATGATGTGTTTCTGGCAGTGAATGCATCACAGCAACTCACTTTGATGCCAGGTCAGAAACCATCTTTTCTTGGGTCTCAGTGGAATGTCGTTTTGATGTTCATGACAATGTATCACTGACACTTTAATGAATGACCATACTGCATGAAAAAATTTTTAAATCTTGCAAAAGATTTATGCAAACTGAAGAGAAATCTGAATGTGTATCAAGTTTAAAATTTCCTGGGAATATATATATATTCCCCCCCCCAGCAGTTATGAGGCCTCTTTCCCAGCAGATGGCACCATACACATGCAAAGTGGCATGGACATACCTGGACTACAAAAAGACATCCAGTCTGCTGTTCTTTACCAACTCCAAAGTCTTAGTGAATGAGATCAATTTAGCCTTTTGGACTAAATTTTCTGAGGGCAGTGCTACTGAACACACCATCCTTTTTGGTCACAACCAATGCTCCCACCCTTCTTACCCTATGTATAACCACAGATCTTCCAACTAAAAGAAAGATGAGGTTGGTGTCTCTGAGTAGTGTGCCCTGCAGGTCAAGTCTTTCAGAATAAATAGCCTCAATGCATTCCACACAGTCATGCCCTGAGGGTTTCAATTGGAAGAAGGGTAGCAGGATGAAGCAGGATAGTCACAAGTGTTAGATGTGAGTCTTCAAGAAGGGCTGCCTGGTATGGGCCCGGTTACCACCAAAGAGCCACCTTCCATCAAAGGCCCAGAACAGTGTCTTTACCTCACGGTCCATGAACATGCTCAAATTTTTGTCTCAGATTTAATTTGTCAGCCCCCTTCACCAATACAGCAGCTTCAGCAGAGGGATACAAGCACAATGGTGCCTCAGTAGCCACATAGTCCAGTCTTTAGGACAGATATGCTATGCAGTGCTTCCATGGCCCTAAGGGCTGAGTTAAGATTCCTCTGGAAAGTCCTTCATTCTCATAAAAAAAATAACTGGAAGGGCTTAGTGATGTCTGACAGGACAGAGCAGGAGCCCTCAAAACTCCTTTTATAAATCCTCGAGTGCTTTTGACCATTTTCAATTCCAATCCAAAGGGAGACTATTATTTTCCTTTAAGTCTTCATATGAGGGTTTAAAAATGAAGGCAAAATTTACCACTCAAAAATGATAATAACCTACTGTTTCTATGAAATCTTGCAACTGCTTTTGTGTCCCTAGCCCTTCTAGCCTTGATAGCTTGGTTTCCCAGGAAATTCCACACTGATTTTGACAGTGGATGCACTGGTCTCCACTACTTCCAAAAGGTGAGAAGGGCTCCATTTTCCTCAAACCTCTCTACTATTTGTTATTGGTTTATTTCTTCATAGTACTCTTTTTTCTGTGTTGAGATGGAATCTCATTGTTGCTATAAAGAGCATTGTTTGAATGAAAATGATGGAGAATCTTTTGTAGAATGTTTATTTTCCATTTGAATTTCTTCATTTGAGATGTGAGATTTCATCTTAAATGTAATTTGTGGGTGGGTCTATGAATTTGGGAGGTCTGATGTTTTGCAATTCTTTATATGTTCTAGATAGAAATCTTTTTTCAAAAAGGTAATTGAATAAAATTTTTCTCATTGTGTAGGTAAAGTTTTACCCTTTTTTGTGACTTCATTTGCTGGACAAAAGCCTTTTAATATACAGAGATTTCAGTTATTGATTATTTGAAGTATTTCCCTTGTACTCTGAATTTTGTTAATGAACTCTACCTACACCTATGGCTTCAGGGATTCTACCTAATTTCTGTCCCAGTAGATTTAGTGTTTATGTTTTAAGATTTAGATCTTTGAACTATTTTGACTTCAGTACTCTTCATAATGATAGACATAGCAATAGTTTCATAGTTTGACATGTGGAATGATAGTTTTTCCAGCAGTCTTTATTAAAGAGGCTTTCTCTCAGTGGCCAGAATGGGCCTCTTTTTCAGAGATAAGATGGCTAGGGTATGTATAGCAGTGTCTGCATCTTCTAATCTGTTCTCCTGGCTCTCAGATCTTTTTTCAGCATTACCATGCTGATTTTATCACAGTAGTTTTGCAATATACTTTCAAGTCAGGGATAGTGATGCCATATGTCATAGATTTACTTCCCAGAATTCTCTTTGCTATTCTAGTTCTGAGTAGGTAAATCTTAGTAAGAACACTAAGTCCATGAACTGAGAAATGGCTAAAAATCTAGCTTTTATATAATGGAGTGCCAGGCAGCCTTACAGATAAATAAACTTAAAACTTGACAAGTATACTTTTGCAATTTGAAACCATATGAATAAGTTCAACAAATCAGACCCATATGTTTAAATGTGTATTGGTATTGTCTCACTATTATTAGAAAAATGAACAAGAAAATGAAAACCAAAGTTTACTGTATAAAGAGTTTGAATTTGGAAGAAATTGATCAAAGGGAAAGAAAAAACTTATTGAGCAAATCAAAAATGTAGAAATGGAAATGTGAATACACACAGACACACACACACAAAATTAACACATGTTAATTTTCTTATACTCCTAATTTCTCTTTGTTCATTGAAAACAAATGTATGTGCTAATATTATTTGGACATTATTTCATGCCTACATTTGACCTCTCATGCTATGTGAGAATAATGATACACCATGTATTAATTGCTGTTACTCTCATATTGTTCTTTAAAACACTGCTTTATCATGTTTATTTTGTTCACTTTAAAATAATAAAATTAAAAACACAGCTTCCACATAAATCAGCTATACTA